TCAACTTTACTAGCACTTCTAGTTGTCCAAAAAGAAACTAAAAATTAAATACCTAGATTTTCCATCAAGCACTGGCATGGTTAAAGCAACTGAACGTTGGAAGTTTTGAATTAGTGTCAGTTTTTTTGTTATAGTTTTAGATGATTTTTATATTGTTTTAATTCTTCATTGACAGCAACCCAGAATTTGATATAAAGGGAGGCTATATAAATGTTTTAAATAAATAAATAAATAATCAATAATTTGACAGTGAACTTCATTAGGCTAAAATTCAATTACCAATTCCATCTGTTAATGACCTGTAGCATCAAAGTCATTACTTTTCATTAAATCTTCTGAAATCTGGTTATCCTCAGATAATGTAAGATTAATAGATTGAAGGATTCTTCAACATGCTTTCTGCCAGAAGAAATGCCTTTACTCATGTAACCCTTCATGTTTTTTTTTCATTTCCTAATCTGATTACCACACAGCATATTTATAATCAAAAGTATACAATAAACCAAATATGTTGTATTGTAGGGAAATCCAAATAATCCAATATAGTAGATAAGAATATAAGGCAGAATGAATGATTATTTCAGCTATAAACCTCTTGTCTCCCCAGGAGAGTTTAAAGCACTCTATTTTAAGTTTTGCTCACACAATAACAGGTAGTCCTTTGGGTTCAAAAAGACACAATGTTGTGCATTTATGAACACAGAGGTGGCAGTCCCAGTCTGGAAGCACATTCTAGAAAATAGAGCAACTAGAAATCCATTATTACAATAATTGTGGATGCTATTCTGTGCTGCTAACTCATAATATTCTATCAGTTTTGGGTGGCAGCTTCTTTGGCACATGCAGGGACAAGCTTGAGGTCTATATCTGGTCTCCAATTCATCATACAGTTATTAACTAGACATAAATATTCATCCATTCTGATGATGTGTCTCATCCATTGCATCTGGGCTCATACCCATATAGGAGAAAAACGATAATTTTAGTTCTGCAAACTTTCAGCTTTGTGGAGGTACGGACATTTTGATGATTAAACTCTCTAGTATATAACTGCCCCAAACTCTGGCTGGCCTTACTGATCCAGTGATCAATTTCTTTGTCCAAAGACGTATAGATCAAGATGATACTTCCCAGGTATTTGAAACTGTCTAATTTGTCAGCTGGGTATCAACAGTGATCTTCTATCGGGTTGGTATTTGACACAGGCTGGCAAAATCTTCAGTCTTATTCAGGTTGATAGTCATGCTAAAGAGCATACCAATATGTAAAATTTTATTTAACATAAATTGAAGATCACTGTCTTTGTGCGTCAAGTGCACACAATCATAAGCAATCATTATTTTTGAATGTATGGAGGTCCTTTGTCCATGTGTTCAAGGGACAAGGGTCAAAGAGAGTTGTCAATATAATTCCCTCCTTCAGACCTTGGACAGAATAGGACAACATGCAAGCAAAGGACAGGACTGGGGCTAGTACCAGCTTCAACTCCAATGGAAATGATAAATACAGTTGACTTATCGCCACTGTAAAGGACCTATTCTGTCATTCTGATATGAAGCAGCTGAATCAACTCCAATCAATTTCTTTGGTCATCCATGATTTTTCAGGATGATCCAGAGAGTCTCCCTGTTTCCAGGGTCAAATGGCTTTATGAACTTGATGACAAGAGTAAAGAGGCTTGTTCTGCTCAACGAAATTTTCCTGGACTTGCCTCACAGTAAATATCATGTCTACTGTACTTCTGGCCAAAAGCCACATTGTCCCTCCAGGAGGTTCTTTTCCAAAACATTGGCAAGTGTACTCAGGAGAACCGGGGGTGGGGGGAGATCTAGCAAGGGACAGCAGTGAGCTGCCTCTATAATTTATGCGGTTTGATTAACTTCCCTTATTTATAGAGAGCTATGATGAGGGCATGACAGAAATCATCATGCATCTCTTCCATGAAGTAAATGTCTTCCTTGAAACAATTATAAGGTATTTAGGTAAAGAGCTTTATAGATCTCAACAGGAATACCATTTGCTCTGTTGCTTTATTTGAGTTCATCTGCAAGATCACTGTCTTGATCTCATCAGACTAGGGCATCCAAAATTGACAGCTGAGGAATCTGCTGTAAGGCAGCAGGATCAGTTGTGGATGGCCTATTGAGTAGGTTAGAAAATTATTTAGCCTAGTGATTTTTCCATTCTTCCTGATCTTTGATTAAGCTCAGCCCATCAGATGACAGCAAGAGGAAGCATCTTGATTTACAAGTGCCGTAAATTGACGCTGAAGAATTTCAGTGGCAGCGTTCTACCTGCTCAGCTTTTCTCTGCTGCCACTCATCCTGCATTTCTGTAGGTGCTTAAACTTGCCTTTCTTTGAGACAGGTGACAGTTCATTCTGCCTGTTGGTGTAGACATTGTTCTTAACCTGGAGTGCTGCTGAATCAGTCTTGTGATTTTAATCAAACCAATCATTTTCAGTCTAGGTACACTTGTTACAACCAGCATAATGATATCTTTAAACTGCACCTATTTTTCAAAACAGTTTTTCATAACCAGTAAACGTTAACGCATTAAGCCAGTCTACTCTTAATCCTGACTCTCATTAGTTTCATACAATATATATCCACAAACACTATCTGTATCAAAATGCTGACCATTCTTCATCTGCCCAAATAACATAGATCAACTTTAAAATATTCTAAGAAATGAAAATTATATTTTCTTCAAATTTTAACATAAAATGTTACTGACAAGATCACATTCTACACAATACAGCAAAGCCAGAATGATTGCCAAGATGATTAATGCATTTGCTACTTGGAGATGCATTAGTAGTTTTGGCTGAACCTTCTTATAACATCAGCTGACTTGATATCATAAAGTACCTAAACTAGTGATATATGCATAACTAGTTTCAAAATATCCTTGTCAAGGAACCTCTCACTTCAAGGTAACCCTCATTTTTATATTGAAAAAGATATAAAGTAATGCAGAACCAATGTAACCAACTGAATTGGTGCATTTTAGCTTGGCTTAAGATTTCATTAGATATATTTCTTTGGATATCTATCCTTCTTTAACATTTTCTTTTACTTTTAATGTTACGTTAATAGATAATTAGAGATAGTTGATTAAGCAAGCTTTAAAGAGCCATCCAGCTAACATTTCAGCTCTTGACCTGACAATAATCCTCAAACATACCAGATTTGCATGCAGTTCTATAGGACAGGCTGCCCTCACACAATCAACATAACCACAACTGCAAAGTATTTCCTTAATACTGCAAGATTTCTTGATGACAAAGCTATACGACAGAAAGATAATAAATATAACCACTTTCTAAGCAGGATGATTTACATTAACTTCAATTTTTAAACTAATAACCATTTTACATTTACAGAATATACTGCTCATCTCAAGATTGCTTATACATGTGTAGCAATTTTTATAACTGCTAAAAAGCAATCAACATATACTTTTAATGGAAAATACTCATTTGTCTAAAAATATCTGCTTAACCTGTTTCATTTCTTTCAAGACAATATCCTACTGCTTCCATAAATACACTCTATGTATTTAGATTCAAACTGCCATGCTTAGAATATACTTCCTGAAAAAATGGAAATCTAATTTAGACAATACTCAAGACAAATATGTCTATCCTAAGCCCCAAGCCAACTCAATGAATTCTGAAGTTAACAGAGTTGCACTCTTACAGGAAAAGGACATTTATATTCTACTAATATAATTCTTCCATATTACACTAGACAATAGATAGATTTTGGAGCAAGCTTTATAAATAATAGGTAGTATAATACCTGTTCAATATTCATCATGCCAGATTTTTCCCCTGTCAGCAACAATGTTTATATCTTTAAAAGGCTGTTAACCCAATGGAAACCAAATTTCCATTGTATATTTTACCTTATTGCTAACATTTAACATATTGCTTCAACTAACTATCTAATCTTTATACTAATTTAGCAAACAGGTTTTCAATAGCAATATTCAATATGCAATTCTGTTTGGGAAATCTTAATTATTAATAAAACCAGAAATATTAACAATGGCTCATATAGACTTACTTTTCAAACAGACAGAGCTCAGAAAGTTATCAAAACTTTCAAATACAATATAAATAAGCACTAATAAAATGCATAATGCACTATAAACTCTTTAATATATTTCAGACCTACACATAGTTGAAGTACTTAAGCTGCTGAGTTTAAATTCCTTTCATCATCTTATAACAAACGTATGTTTAATTCTGACATATTGGGAAGATGCAACTTTAAAGCAGCCTATATTATTAAATTATTTAGGCAAAAGCTAAAAAGTTGTTATTCTGAAAATAGCCTCTCAAACATAATTTACATATCTATAGACAGCTTATAAATCCATGAACATTGCAGTAAGTCTGGTCAGTGGACTGACAAAGAACTTGGCATCAGTAAATAATCGAAGCATACAGAAAACCAGAAAGCTGGGGAAGAATATTTTATTTCAAGCATCCATATTAATAGAGATAAAGGGATTTCTTCTGGCCTATCTGGTTGTTCCTACATCATGTAGAGACTTTACACTGTGTTTCTCCAGCAACTAGTTAACCCCTTGTCCTAATCTAAAATGAACTAAAATATCTGAAAGGGGGAAATATTACCTTAGACCAGACAAGTACTGCTGTTGTGTTCCATTAACTTTTACAGACCTATAAAGTATACTGGCTCCATGTAAAAGATGCACAAACATGAGACAACATGCAACATAAAGACAGACAGAAAGACAGCAAATACATTTGCAATGCATATCTTTAAAGCCAAAGTCCATGCAGAGAGAACCTAGAAAACATAACATTTATAGATTCTAAGTAAAATTCATCTTGCTTAGAAAAACACAGTATTTTTCTACTTCCATACTCTCAGCAAGACACTGCATCAGCCTGATGCCCCAGGTTTTTTTTTTAAATATCCCAAATGGGGTTACCAGTTGTTCTTGACTTGCTCACCATCACTCACCTTGTCCAGCTCATCATGCAACTCTGCGAGGCTGGGCCGAATAAGTTTCTCTCCTAGACCAGCAGCAGTATGCCGATAATAGTCTATCCTCGGCACGGCATCGATGGTGTTGTGGCCGAAGGTGCGCAGATAGTACGTGTTCGTGTGAGTGTCATAATAGTAGTGATGGTGTCCTCCCCCGGAATGTAGGCTCCCTTCACTCAGAACCGTGTCACCACCATTCTGGAAGCTGACACTGCAGCCTTCTGGGCCGCCACCTCCAAGTTCACCAGAGCTATCGTCTCCAGCAGAGGGGTCCACAAAATTCACCCTGAACCGGCCTTTTGCTTCCTCACTGCTTTTCTTATGCCCATCACCGGGGACTTCGGGGCCCCCTTCAGTCTTCTTCGACTCTTCTGCCATGGCCGCCCGACTCAGGTTTTCTGCCACCAGGTCCACCTGAAAGCGGCTCTGGCTGGGCGTCGGACCCAGAGGTCTGCAGAGCCCATCTCCAGAGGCTGCAGAGGCAAGAGTCAAGGCGCTCCCTGGCTCCGACGAGGAGTCGCCCGTGCCAGTCGGCGCATCCCCGTCACTCGCCGGCAGAGGAGATACTTCCTCCGCGCCTGTGGCTGCTGCTGCATCGGCGGTTCCTCCTCCTTCTCTCTCTGCCTCCGCTGCAGCTTTAAGCTTCGGCGAGCCGGAGCGGGGCGGCGGGGAGGACGCGCGCGAAGATTTTGCTTCCATGGCTTCTGCTTTTCCTCGGGCGGCGACAATGCGGACCGGAACAGACCTCCTTGCGGTTCTGGCTGGTTCAATGAAGTCCTTTCGTTTCTGGCAAGCAAGCAAAAAAACCCCAAAAACCCTCAGTCGGCTGCCGCTCGGGGCGCTTTAAAACCACCAAATGGCGCCCCGCGGCTGCCGGGCTCCACTCCGCCGCCCTCGAGAGAAAGCAAGGCAACACGCCGCACTTCCTCGGCAGATAACCGCGCGGCCCGGCCCTGCCGCTCCCTCCCTGCCGGTCCCTCCACCCCAGTCCTTCTAGCGCCGCCGCCGCACCAGGTGATGGTGATGTTCCGCAGCTGCTGGCCCCTCTCGTCCCTCTGCCTACCCGGGTCCCCCCTCCTCGAAACCCGAGACAAGGAACCAGCCGAAGGAGGGGGGGGGAAGAGTCTCCGTCTCCGCTACTCCCCCCCCGTCGCCTTGCTTCCCGCTTTCTCTTACCTCACGACCCCGCAGACAAGGAGCACCCTCGGTTCGTCTCCCGAAGTCTCAGGGACGGCTGGAAGCAGCAACGCCACACGCTTGATATCGCGGGCGCCAAGGCGACAGCGCTCCCTGGGGGACCGCGGAGGGGAGGAGGAAACCGGCTGACCGACCCGCCACGGACCTGCGCTGTCTCAGCCTGAATAGGGTTCGACACGTGTGTGTGTATGCCTCTGCGATCCGGCGGGCCGCTGGCCTATCAGCGGCAAAGCTTCCGCTGGGCCCTCCGTTATCTCCCTCCCTCCCCTCGGTTCCCCCCGAAGCGAGCGAAAGCCGGCGCCAAGGAGCGAAGGAGAGCGGGCCGGCGGCAGCCAATCGCCTAACAGCCGCGCGGCTCAGGGACGAGTCTTTAAAGCATCCGCTGCTAGGGAGCGGGAGGCGGAGGCAAAGCCCGACAGGGAGGGAATCTGGCCCGGCGAGGGCGGAGCAGCGTTCGGGCGCTGCTCCTGGAGCAGGCGGATGCTGGCTCGCCTTTGGCGTACTTCGAGGTTAGGGCTTGTCCGCTGCGTGGCCGCCGGGAGCCTCAGCCTGGCTTAAGTGCCTTTCAGAGAAAGAGCGAGGCCGCGGTCCAGCGTGGCCCGCTTTTCCCCCTGAGGGACGACTCAGCCAGCAGCGCCCTTACTACTCCCGTAGTGTCCGGAAGGAGGGAGAGGAAGAAGGCATCCACCCGGCGTGCTGCTTGCCTCCGCCTCCTTTCGACCGAGAAGAGCTTTCAGGCAGATGGCGGGTTATAAAACTGACGCTCGGCTGAAGTGGGGATGGGCGGGCCTACGAAGCAAACTGCTACTCCGTGGGCGGACGGCTAGCTGGACGGCTAGGAAAGTTCTCCGACTCTTCCTTCTGCTGCGGAGGAAGAAAAAAAACCCCACCAAGCTTCAAGATCTCGCGAGCAAGACGCTCAGACGTGACGGAGGTTGCAAGAAGCCCCGTCAAGCTTTACGTTGAGGCGGGCGGTTTATAGAAGGAGGGAGTGGATCTCCACATGCTCCAAGGGGATGTTGGCTTCCCAGGGAAAGCTGCTCAGGACGTCTCAGTTGCTAAAAGATGTGTAATGGCTTTCATTGAATCAAGCCTTGCTTTCCTAGGATGTCAAAGATGTCCTACCTTAGGGGGAAAACAAAGTCCCCACACGAAAACAGTCCATGCATGGTTATACAAACCGAAAACTTAATGTTTTTATTGCTGTTTTTATTCAATTCTATCACAATCCTGAGAAGTTGGTGGTTGTTGCTACACAGGAATTAAATTGAGCCGTGCGTATTGGTGTGGTACATACTAGTGAATACTTCCTTTGAATTGAGCATCCTCCAAAAATTCCCCCGGAATCCCAAGGGTGCATGAGGATTCGTGGACATGCTAAATAATGTGGAAATTATTCCCTCAAGGCCCGAGGTTTAGAAACAACTCCCATTCAAGGAAAAGGAATAACAGCCCTACATCTAGGAAGCTTCTGCTATGACGCTATTTTATGTTAAGGGCCCTGTTTTTGCCCTTTCAACCCAGTCGAGGAAGATTAGCTGATGTCATGTGAATTCTGTAACCTATTTAGCTGAGGGGGTATCTCTAAATCAACTTTGTCAGTGAACATGGAAGGAAACATTTACTCTGAGTTAACTCTTTTCCTGCTGAAGTAGATAACACTTGGAGCAGCTCTACAAAACCAAGATTTCTAGTCTGCCCCTACATGTAGTATACAAATAATGGGAAATGATCATCGATTTTCAAACAACTTCGTCCTAGTAGAAAACAGTAGGCTCTTATATAAATAGTGTTGTGGTAGAAAGTTCCTTGGTGAAAAGGCAACTCCTTTGCCATGTGCGTGGGAGTTGTTTTTAAACTTTAAAAGGAAAGCTGAGGAATTGGGAGGAGATATTGAATGGGTTTGCATATCACATTGGGTCATAATCTGTTTTAATGTGCTGGGTGAACTCAATTAAAACAATACAATGTGTATTCATGAGGTTGAAGCCGTGTGTCTAATAGATTACTTTCTTAGGTAAGATGGAGAATTACTAAATTTGCAGTCTGGCACAGAGATAGTTGAGCATTCTCCAAAGATTCTAAATTATCTACAAGACAAAAATAATTGATAGTCCCATTTAGTTGAGAGACCGCCTCCTGCCAATTACCTCCCTGCGACCAATTAGATCGCATAGATTAGGCCTCCTC